AACAAATGTAATTTATTTGTGGGAACGAGCCTGTGGCAGGTGCAGCAAAGGAAGTCAACTCAGTTCTGTTTAACCTCAGTGTTGGGTGGGGGTTTTTTGTGTGTTGATTGTGTTGTCCCCTGTCACCACCCCCACCCCCCAAAGAATTTAGTTGTGTGTAGATAGGGAAACTTTGAAAAGTTAACTTCAGTGGTTCATGAAAACTTTGAGCAGGAAAAAGACTTATTCAGTTTCCTTGTCTTGCTTGCAATCTGTACATATGTATTAGTAGTGGTGTCCTATATATTGTCATTGGTGTGGCATAAGAAAGAATGAGATAAAAATTACTAAGGAAATGACAGTGATCTTTTGGTTTATATATATTGTATACATAATTTGCAAAAATGTTGGCTTGTGAAGTAAGTGTAAGCAAATCACGATTTCAGCATCTTCAGTAGACAACATAAATGCTGACAGATATCTTTCACGAACTTTTAACATAGGAGCATGTCTATAATAAGTAAATGTATATATATCAAGTTCCTTTCCTTTATTTTGTTTGCCTTCAGAAAATATCATGCTCAATTTTTGTCATTTCATTAGTATAACAATAGTGGATTTTAATGTGTGATCTTTGTAAATTTTTGTTGTTTTGGAACTGCAGTTGAAATTATTGTGGGGATCTCTTTTTTGGGGGTTTTGGGTGGGGGGTTTTTTGGTGGGTTTTTTTGTTTGTTTGTTTTAATAATGTGGACTTCCTTACAGTTGGGATCTTTATAGTTAGTGAAAACTGGATGAACAAATTCCTTTTCAGTAGTTGAATATAAGCTGTGCTGTTTTACAGGAAATAAATGAGCTAGTTCAGCGGTGACTAAGATTTTGTGTTTGTCACTTTGTTTACTTCTTGACTTTTGCATCTATAAATTGTTCCTTTTGTTTTTGCTAGCTTCTTATATTGAAAATATTTCCTTCTCCAAAACTGTGAATATAGCAGCTAATTACTTAAACTGGTTATGCGTTAAGTGCTGTCTACTGCAGTATGAACCAACAGAAGTTTTGTTACCAGTTTTTGAGTTGGTACTGCATAACCTGAGCAAATTTTCTTTTGATTGCCTTATCTTGCATCTTTTTTGGTGAAGTGCTCTGCTGCCGAGACCAAAAATTTGACTTTTGATTGTTTAATGCCATTTGATATTTAAATTCTACATTTTTCTAATCACTTCTGACAAAATTTACTTAGTATGCAGCTGAGGTTATGGTCTGTGTTTCATTTATGTTATTGAATTTAAAATTCTTTTAAGTAAATGAGAATTTTAATTTGGTTTTGTGGTTTTTTTTTGTTGTGTTTTTGTTGTTTTGTTTTTTTGTTGTTTGTTTGTGTTTTTTTTTTTAGTGCTTGAGAGATGGGAAGTAATGATAGCTGGCACCTGAACTAAAATATCTGTATAGGCACTACTATCCCAGAACTTCAGGATGAATGGGGATATGCCTCATGTTCCCATCACTACTCTTGCAGGGATTGCTAGTCTTACAGACCGTAAGTATTCTTCTTTTTCTTATCTTTGCTATGCTGTTTTCTACCTCTTTGGTAAATACCTGCATTTTTAAAATACTAAAAATAGTTTTATTTTAAAAGTTCTTAAAGCTAAATCTGTTCAAAATCAGATTTGGCATAAAAAAATGTTAATTTTGTCATTGCTTGAATTTTAAGAATCTATTCAAATAGAACATGCTAATTTAAACATGGAATGAAATTAAATGTAGGTTAAAAAAAACCCTTAACGAAAACTGAAACAAAATATAGGAATTCATTGTTTGGAATATCATTCAGCAACATATCTGGGTACCCCACAAGTAAGGGAAAACATATAAATGATAAAATACTTCTCTAAAACATACATTTCATCGTCTTCACTAAAAAGAGAGAGAGGGGGACAGAGAGAATTAGACTGATGCTCAACTAACTAAAGCGAGTTGTGGAATATGCTGAATATACTTGAAACCTAGTTCTTTAGTTTTGGACAAGGTACAAAAAAAGTTGCTCTAATAGGTGCAAAGAATGGTTGCTAGAATGGAAATAAGCAACTGAACCTATGAGTCTTCTTAGCAGTTCAGCCTACAAAAGGAGCAGATGAGGTGTGTGTATTGTCTTTAAATACGTCAGGAAGACAAAATGCAAGGAAAGGAAAAGAGCTATTTCCATTAAAAGCTGATACTGGCACAAAACCAAATAGTTATAATGTGACCAAAAATAAATTTCTAGTGAAAACCAAGAGGAGATTTATTATTATTCCTGTAATGATGTCCTAGAACAACCACTGCAATAAGAGCAGTTGGGACAAAAATGCATCTTGTTTATAAAGTGTAAGAAAGAGTTTGTAGCACAGTTGTCTGTGAGGATAATTGGACTCAGTGACCAGGGTGCTTCTTCTGAGCTCTTGTTTTTATTATCATACTGTTGAAATTTGGAGACTTTCCAAGAGACACTGAAAGTATATACCCAGCAATTGAATTTAATTGCCTACAGTAAAAAAAGCAGATGTATTGGAGGAAAAAAACCCACTTCATATCTTTCTGATATTCTGAAATATCAAATTGGAAGATGCTGCTTATGTATTTAGATGTGTAGATATGTATCATTATGTATGTCTAGTAATGGACCATCAGGATGCAAATAATACGTTTCTGGGCTATGGGCAATTTTCCAGCATTAAGTATTTGCAGGTAAGGTTCTAAAGAAAGGCAGAATACTTAACTGGTAGAAGTCACTGGCCAGATGCTTGGTGCAAGACTTGCTTGAATCACTGAACTACCTTTGGTGGGATAAGCCCTTGTGTTAGGTACATTTGCTTCTTTATCTGTCTTATTTATCTGATGTTTAGAAACTCAGGGGCAGCTGAAAGATAGATGCTTTTAACTGCTTCACCTTATTTTCCTCTGTGTGAAAATAAGGAACTGGAATGGGCAAGACCTGCTGCCCTAAAAACAGGGAGGACATGACTAGAGGCAGTAGAGTAGGCTAGTTAACTAGTTGAAATTATACTGTTTTAATAAATATGTTTTGCTGATCTTGCTAATTTTTCCAAATTTCTGGCACATTCACGGTAATCTCATGCAAGTAATGAAAGCAAGCTATTTAATAATATTATATATTTCTATTTGATTTGCAATTTATTTCTAAATGCAGTAATGATATACATTATATATGGGGAAAAATACTGTAATTCCCCCCCCCCCCCCTTCTGCTTGTAATACTTGTTTTCATGGACCCATGAAAGTGACTTTCCTATGTAGCAGGCTTTTTGGCCTCTTCTGGCTTACTCTCATCTCTGTAGCCCTGCCAAATCATGCGGTCAAGGCTTCTTATTTGGTACACTTCCTTGTTATGCCTGTAGACCTAAGAATGCCCTCTGAAAGTATAGTATGCTCATTTATAATCTGATTGAAATATTGTGATAGGTGTTTTCATTAAAAAAATCTTTTTACCAAGATTTGCGAATAGGTATATTGACTGAATTGATATTTTAGTGATCATTCCAACCAATGATACTAGCCTTTTCTTGAGAAGATTGCTTACATAGAAATGAGTACAACAGGAAAAGAATAAACTGAGAATATAATTAGTGGCTTAAATTGGTTGTTGGGTTGTTTAGTTTTTTTGGTGGTGTTTTTTTGTTTTGTTTTGTTTTATTTTAATCTACCCTCACCATACAAAGTGGAAACACTAATTAAATATGAAGGTCAGAGTAGAAAACTTAAAGTATATGATCAGTGCACTTACAGTACTGCATGCAACTACAAGGATTTTGCATTTCCTTCCTTCCCTTTATCCATGCTTTCAGCTCCAAGAGAAAACTGCCATAACATTAAATAACTTAATATTCTGGAATGTTTAAAAGTATGTTTTTATTCATAATACTTGCCTTAGCACAGTTAAATATTTACAATAATACAGCAATATAACTTGCGGATTTGACAGCATTACTTTGTTTAAAACAGAGTCCAGCCTTTGTGTGTGTGTGTGTGTTCATGATTAAAAAAAAATCCAGAAATCTTCCCTATATTTTAGAAGTTGTCAAGTTTTCTGTCTTAATTAGTTGAGGGAATAAGAAGGTGTCCATATTTGTATGCTTGTGTTTCATGAAATAGTTCTGAACTCCTTTCTGTTTTCTGGTAACAGTTTTGAACCAGCTGCCTCTTCCATCACCTTTACCTGCTACAACAACAAAAAGCCTGCTTTTCAATGGACGGATAGCTGAAGAGGTGAACTGCCTTCTGGCTTGCAGGGATGAAAATCTGGTTTCACAGCTCGTCCATAGTCTCAATCAGGTGTCAACAGATCACATGTATGTATCTTGAACTTCCAACTATATCAGATCACTATCCTTGTTCCTTGAAATCAAAATTAACTGGATTGAGAAGGTTGTTTGTGAGAATCTGAAAATTAGAACATGCAGGTTTTTTATTAGGCTTGCTTAGCAGATGACTGCTATAAAAGAGTCAAATGTTTCAGTCAGTCAGAATGTTAATAATTGTCTGGCAGCCCTTATGCATAACTGTGGGGTTTATATTATAGATTTGCTGCTTATTCCATTCTTGCTAGTTAGGAGTGCATACTTCTTGGTGTTGATTGTGCAATACTCGTTTGTGTTCCACTTCGGTTAATAATGCGCATACACAAATTATATACCCAGTATTACACAAAAAGAAAATTTTTTGAGACACCCATGTAAGACCCATGTCAATTCTGATTAGGTATTGAACTTAAACATTCTAAGACTTGAACGAGCAAGTATGCTAATGTATTATCTTTTTGTTAATTTTTTCTGTTTTTTTTTTCTTTTTTCAATTTTCCCCTGGTGCCCTTTAAATTGTCATATGTTGACAACGCTGTCTTTTTCCTACATGTTCCAATCAATTGTTTTGATCAAATGGAGGTAGCTTTTAAAAGTCCTCAAAGCAGACAGTAAGTGAAAGCATGGATGCATTTATAGAAAATCCATTACATTTTTTTTTTATGGTTCAGAGGGAATCCTGTGATGTCAAAGATACGCCAGTTTCCATTTTTAAACTAAAAGATTCTCAAAGCATTGGGCTGCAACCTGAATGTTATACGTTCATGCATATGTTATTTTCACTCCTACAATAATAGTTTCTTCATATTATTCCAAAGAGTTCTTTTATGAAGATCACAATATAAAAGTGGGCATAAGAAACTTTTTATAACAGTCTGAAACTGACAGCCATGTATATGTAAGTGCTTAGTAACAGAAAATAATTTTGAAGACTAGTAGGAATACCTCTTCTGCCATTCCTTAAAGAAGAGAGGAAAAAAAAATAGAGGCAGGGAACAGTGCTTTGCAGACTTGTTTTTTTCTATATTTTAACAGTAAATTGTCTTCTTTCATTTTGGTTTTGTTTTTTTGTTTTTTTGTTTTTTATTTTACTTGACTCATAGTTTCTTATAATTTGAAAATGCATTTGCCTCTTTATTTGCTTACTTCCACAATTCCAGAGAGTTGAAAGATAACCTTGGCAGTGATGATCCAGAGGGAGATATACCAGTCTTGCTGCAGGCTATCCTGGCAAGGAATCCTAATGTTTTCAGGGAGAAAAGCATGCAAAACAGATACGGGGTACAAAGCGGTAAGGATTTTTGATTATTTATTGATTGTGTTTTATGTTGTTCTGTAAGTTTAGGGGACTGATACTAACCACAAATATATATGGAGCACAACTGTGATATTTATGCCTTATCTTGTATTTGATAATGATATAAAGCTATGTATCTTGACATCTTCTAAGAGTGATTGTATTAGAATAAGCATGGAAATAAACTCTACTGGGTATTTTTGTAAAAAATAATGCTTAATTTCACTACAAAGTTTAATTTCTGGGAACTGAAGTCGGAAAAATATGCTGTGATCTTACTGAAAATTTGTACAATTATAGTGTATCATTGCAGTGGTAGTTCTTAATAGTTCTAGGGTAAGGAATAAGGTTGAATGAACCATACTTAACAGATCCTCCCTGCCATTCCTTGTCTCAGCAATTCGTGATGACCTACAGATTTTACTCTCTTGACAGCTAATTCTCTTCTGAGGTGTAGTGGGATATGCTGCTGGATAGCAAAGGTGAAGAAGGAGAGAGACCAAGCAAAGAATTAATTGGACAGATTCTAGTTGTAGATCTGGAGACTTGCACCTAAAGTATGTTCTCTAAATATCAAACTAAGAAATCAGTAGAAGTGTTTCCAGAGTTTCTGCAGTGTGAGTATAAAGCTTTGCTAGCCCTGTAGAGATATAGATGGAAGTGTTTCTGGAGTCCACAGGGGACAGGAGGTGTAGGGTGTTTTTGGAGGGAAAAAAATAATAAAATGATATTATTAGGTTTGTTCACCTAGGCTAGTGGGTAAAAAGCCATACAATATTTGAAAAGAACTTGCTAAGGACAGAACAAGTAATGTTCCTTGAAAGAAGGCAGAAATTTCCTGGAATGAAAATGTGAAAAACAGTGCTAAATGCCTCTAAGTTCATTGATACTTATATCCTGAAATTCAAGCTCTGAACAGTCTCCAGATCCTGTGTTTAGTGTTAGCTGTGGCAGGGTATGATTTTTCCAGCTGTGGGAAGAGTTGTGACTGTCCTGCCAGTTTGCAGGGTGGTCGCATAAAGAACATACCCTTGAATTAGAGTTTTCCTCCAGTTTTGTACAGTAAAATAATCTTTTGCCAGTGCAAAAGGGAGACATCATTTTTGAAATTATCTGTTCCAGCAGAAGCTTTTGAAAGAAAGAAGAACAAGCTAGTTAATTTCTAATTTTCACTAATTCTGTGCTTCACAGGGAGAAACACTTTCGCAGCTTGATTCAATAGGTTAAGAATAATCCTTAATGAAATAAAAACACCCCTATCTTTAGTAAATGTGCTTTGGCCTATACTTGAAGGAAGGTATTAGTACAGAATAAAAAATAATTCCGTATGAAACTTAAAAGAATAGTAGATGTTATTTAAGTAAAGTTAATGAAGTGGTTTCAGAGAACTGGAAGAGATCAGACTTTAAAACACCCTTGAATATTTAATTTTGTTTTATATAATTCTGAATACTTGTATGAATGCAAGCATTGCAATATAAGTGTAAAATCTGAAAACTGGAAAGAAAGGGGGAAGAGGGGAAAAGCATAGCTGTAGGCAAAGTATTTTTAGAGGAAGAAGGCCCTGGAATGAATGTTTGGAAAAACTAGGTGAAGCGTGACTTTATTTTCAATGGAAAAAGGCCACAGTCTTACCTGGAAATATGTGGATCTTTAAGCTAGATGCTGGCAAATTGTGGTAGCCTTATTACCTGTTACTATGTCCCATTCAGATCTCCAAGGCCAAAGGAGGCTATACTGATGTGTTGGGGCAGCAAAGGTTGGATTTTCGTCTGCTTTCTGAACAGATATTTGTAATCTCTGTAGAGTCATGATTTGTAGAACAGTTGTGGGTTTGGTAGAGATCTTACATAATGCGTTTTGCCAGCTATAAGACTGAAATTTAAGCTCTTTTCTAGTACTTCAAATTTATCTTTTCTGCTTTTCCTACTGTCTTCCTTCTGAATATTGTCCTCCTGCCTTCTGTTGAGGCCAGCATGCGGTAAAGTCAGCACTGGGTACAGTGACCCAGTATTTGTAATACCCACAATTGAGAAGGAACAAAGGCAACAGGCCCCCTGTGTATTTCCTCAGCCTGGGATGGGTCTGTGCACCATGATCCCTTGAGTGTCAGTTCCAGCATTAGCATGGACAGAGGGAACTGAAATTCATTTCTCCTAGCCTTCATTTCTGATGCAAGAACAGGAAGATCACTTGGCTAAAGAATTACATTAAACATGGAATAAAATTCTTGGTTCAGTACAGTTTGTCAGGAAATAAAGGCATCTTCAGAAAGCTAAACACTATGTTTTGAATTCTTGTGAATGTAAGGTAAAGCACAAGCAGAATTCTGTGCTGATGTGTTTTCCTAATTTCGTATTGATCTGTAGTTCAGCACTAAGTTTAGAGCAAGAATTGGTTTTAGTTATGACGAACAAATAGTGCAAGAAGGATGTATTATGTGGACACTTCTTTTCCTTTGTGCCCTGAGTGGGCACCCCCCATTTTTCCCATTGCTGCCATATTTCGTTTCAGGTAACGTAGCAGCAATCCTCAAACTCTTACTCCCTGTTTTTAGATAACAGTCACATTGTTGAAACAGTCTTCATAGAGCTTAGATTTTTAGATTACATTTTTAGTTAGATTTTTCAGACTGTTCTCTATTACCAGGTTGCCTGAACAGACCGAGTCACATCACCATGCGGCATCTGGCGTAACTTTGTACAAGGGCACAATGTTAATTTCATTTTAGACCTTTTTCATCAGATGACATAGAAAGTTCTGGGTGTCATTGTGCAACTACATCTGTCTGGCATCTTACAGTGTATGAGTGAATTGGATTTCTTATAATTATTTATTTAAAATAAAGTTATTATTTAGATTCAATTTTCATAATAATTTTTTCTCTTTTCCCTCAACACTTTGGCTTTGTTTTTCAGCAGATGAGTGTTGGAAGATCAGCTAAAATAGTATATTGCAATAGGTTAGTATTCATAGCATCGCTTAGGGTTCAGAAAGAACTTTTGGACAGACTGGATCGTTGGGCCGGGGTCAACTGTATGAGATTCAACAAGGCTCAGTGCCCAGTCCTGCACTTGGGTCACAACAACCCCATGCAACGCTGCAGGCTTGGGGAAGAGGGGCTGGGGGGGGGGCCGGGGGGGAGGGA